ATAAGCATTCTCAAGGAACTGTTCTAGAAACCATCACATTCGTCCCTTTTATTGTAGACCCACTAAAACATACATATAAACCTTAATTTAAGACGTAACATAATTGTAGATTAGCAATTAAATTGATCGAGTAAAAGCCTATTTGCTGTATGCTTAGAGTTAGGCAATGAATACTTTTATTCATTGCCGCAAGATATCTTAGTTGATTGTGCGATAAAATGAATGCAACTTTACTTGTATGACTTTATACGTGCAAGAAATAGTTGTACTTTCCATCGGCTAAATTTACTTTAATAAATCAAACTTTAGGGAAAATCGTCGATCGATAAACTTCAAAGTGTCACAACATAGCTCCAATCTTTAGTCGGGTTGAATACGAACGTGATAACATTCATGAAAACCTAATAGCGTATATAGAATAACGTATTTAGCCAAATTTTCCAGACTAGACGTTCGTATCAAAAAGCCGCTATAAAAAATTGCCAAATGAACGAAAATGACCGTCCATTGTGCAAGACACAAAGTAGGGAAAGTTTAGTATGAAGACGACGAATTACTCCAAAGGCCATCTTTATCTTTTATTCAACCAAACAGCAGCATGAACTTTCACTGATAATTTAGTATCTGTGTCAAAACGGGATTTGTTATTCATTATCTGACCTCGTAGCCTAAAAATTATCTCAATTCTTGACCCAAGAGAAAATTTAGAAACTACGTAAAATCATTGCCTTTTTTCAAATTTAGCGTTTCTCAAAACGCTTTTAGCTCTTAAAATCATTTTAATTTTAAGAATACTGACAGCCCATTTGGACATTCCGAACCTACTTCAGAGCCTAGCACAAGGTCCACCCTCATTTCCTGACTCACTGGTAGTAACAGGTACCTGTTCATCTCAAAACCTGGCGACTGACCTTTTCGACCGAATATTTATGGAAATCTGGTTCACTTATTTCTTCAAAATTTCTCACAACAATAGGAACTTCCTCTTTTCTCCTCTAAAGTGGTTTAAACTGCAGGGTTTGGATTTAGTTTTACTTGGATCAATCAATTAAAACTTATTTGCTCTTTACGATACTTTTGAAGACGAAGACACAAAAGAGCCTTTGTCTAAAAATAGATTTTTTTACATTCCTTTTTCTTGATACGACCATTCCTAAGAGTATTCCTTTTTATTAATATCGAAAAGCATGAAAATCAAAGTAACAAAAAGAGTTACTAGGTTTATTGCTATTTAACCAACTAGGAATTCGAACAATAGACATCAGTAATTCATGAAAATACATTAGATTGCTTCAGAAAAAGTTGGGGTCGTGTGGTGTAACACGTTAGCCTAACCCTACCTGACTTTCCTCGTTCCTAAGTCCAAATTAAAGAAACGCAATTGCTGCGTTTTCTGAAACTTCAAAATAGCATAACTATTTTAATCCATAGCCTGTTGTCAGAAAAATACGTTGCTCAGTTCCTAATTCAAATGAGTGATTGCCTAAATGAGTTCTTCAAGCAGGTGGAATACTTTCCTACATCTTTCAAAAGCTAATGTCAAAGTCATCTATTAATGAAGAACACTAGAACAACAGAATTTCCGAACGTCCGTCGCAAACGTTTACAACATATTGAACCCTCGCTTCGAGCCACAGCACGACTCCTCGGCTTTCCGTTATTGCTGTGATCGTCACTTATCACTCTTGGTAAGTTACCATGGGATGCATAACCCTGCCACTTATTGAAATCTATATATTATTATTGATCTTTAAAGCAAAGTCGGATAGCTTGTTTTGTTCTGGAACTACCACACTTCCCCTTTCCTTTTTAATGAAAATCTGTGCCACATTTCAAGTAAGTTGCATTACGAAGAAAGTACGTTTTTTAAGTCGTATTTTATAAACTTTTCTTCGTGTGCTAGATGTTTCTATTTTAAGATGTTTCTATTTTAAGATGTTTCTATTTTTATATGTTTCTATTTTTAGATGTTTGTATTCTATTTCCTCAGTGTCTATGCCACACAGGTCGCGGTAATTACAAACGGTACTATCTCTCGGCGCACTTTCACACCTTTTTCACACCTCGTTTCACACCTGTATTAAAAACAAAGTGCAAAGTCATACTACGATTTAAATTAACTTAAGACTTGAAAGACATTTCAAAACGAGGAGAGTTTTACAACTGTTCGCTCAAATATGTTATTTCGGTAAGGTGCAACAAAACTAGCTTCCGAATCTCTACTTGAATGTTGTTTCTATGTTGACTTTTTTTAGTCAGTTTATGTTTCCACTAATTTACAAATTTATGAATAAAATGATTCAATGACATCCTCAACATTCCTACTAGCGAAAAGAATAATCTCAACTCAGACAATTCACCAAAAATTTTCTAAGGAATAGAAATAATTCTAATGTCACATTTGTCCCTAATCAAACAGACCGGACAAGTGTGTTGGCAAACGATCGACCAAGCGACCACAAAAACTCCCTTAGAAGACCTCCATTATTAAAAACACGAAAAAGAGGCTTCACTATCTTGTCCTTCCACGTGCATTTCTAACTTTTCCTTCAAAAATTTCGAGCATTAAAGAATTAAGTTCTTTTTCTCGACGCCGTGTGTCCAACCAATGAAAAGGTAATTTAGTGTTAACAACTGAGTTGAAAGCTTAAATTTCCACCGTAAAGAGTTAAAAAGCTGACCTTTCGAGCGTTATCCCTTCGTCTATCGCTCTGACGACGGGCTAACGCTCGAAAGGTCAGCTTTTTTCACTTTTTACGGTGGCCAATTTACGTTTTCAACTCAGTTGTTAACACTAAATTACCTTTTGTTGAGTTTCTTCAACCATTGTAAACCTTGGTTCAAAATCATTAAAAAGAAGAAGGAAAAATGGATGAAAGCTAACGTATATTTTGCTGCAAATTCCATCATTACCATGTAGAAGGTTAACTTCCTTCAAGACATAACAGCCTGAGTTTATGATCTCCTGTTTATTTTCCGTCATATTCAGTTACTTAATAAGCTGTGTAATTTCATAATGTAACATACTAACCTGACGAAATTTGTCTTAATCCATGTTTAGTAAGCCGGGTTCATATTAAAAAATATGCTTGTTGCAAAAATGTAGGGCGACACAAGAAGACTATCTTTCTTACCAACGTCGTGTTACTACGATGACAATTTTTGGAATTCCTTTCCGTTCCGTTCAACGAATTCCCATTTAAATTCCTTTAAACTGATGTTATAACTTGATACCTGTTTGATGTCAATTTTAAAGTAATGGTAAGACGCAGATAGGTGGAATCTGGTTAAAGAACCTCTTATGATAAAAGGAAGGCACCGGAGACTCTGTCCTTTTAGTTCTTCTTTGATCCCTGTTCTCTGCAACAGGTCTGTTTAATATAGATTCGATCTCTTTTCTTTAATCACTATGTGGCAGACTCTGAATCACTACTGAATTATAGCCAGGTTAGTCTACATAAAGGATCTCATCGTTATAACTAAAACCCAAATAACTTCTGACTTCGAATTCAAAACTTACCTGGACACAAATAAATCACTGAATCCTACTACCTTATGATTGAAGTATTGAGCAATTCACTGAACAGTTCTTCATTCATGTCACTTCATCTAGATTCTGCATAAGACGACAGGACCACGAAAAATGAAGACAACAACCGTTTGGTGTTTAGTAATTGCTATCTCAGTGTTAGCCGTTACCGTGTCATCGAAAAGTAACTCCACTGGTAAATACAAACAATTTACATGTCTCTTAATTGATTACATGCGTGAGTCTACGGTATCTGTTCGTTGCGTCAGATCTCTCGTGGGATTGTTTCAGCATTCGTTTCCCGCATCTTCCATTTAATTTAGGCTTCATGAAATTGTTTCTGCGAAGAAAGACACGTCTAGACTTGTTTTTTCGTCGCATGAATTGACTTTTGTGTCCTGATTGTTGAAAGATTTGTCTTTAAAGAAGTGTGTTCTGGTCATGGTTACGCACTTTCCCTTGACGTGCGTCCCGGTCGTGGGAGTTGATTATGGGTTGCGTTTTAAATGAAAAAAAAAATAATGGTCGTACTTGTTGTCCTAATTCATACTTTATGTCTGGTCGTTGAAAAATTTATCTAGTAATCCAAGGAAATTAAACCCGCACCAACTAACTTAAGACAAGCTATCAGCGCCCTGATATGACTTTTTCACAGCATTACCAGAACTAAGAGGCTGATCAAAACGAGCTACCTTAAACAGCAATTCTAAAACCAATCAATTGCAGCTAACGAAAGCCACAGTAACATCCCGCATATAAGAACCTAGGTTTTTTTACGGTAACCTCCGTACGTTCTTATATAAATGGTGTTTACAGTGAAATTAGACTACTTAGCTTATAAATCAGGCTCTCAATATTTGTTTAAAAAAGGGAAACCTCTCTTCGTGGGTGTAAGTGTGACACTGCGCTGTATGCCAGCCTCATATTACCCTACTTTACATGGTTAACTTGAACACACAGTCGGATATGTTGCACAGCTATGGATGTATTGTCAGTACAGTACTGTGGTCTTATAACACTGCCGATGTTCAGGCTATTTTTTGTTGCCCTTTTTGTATCGCATATGATGTACTGTAATATATTTGAAAAAACTCTATATTCTAAAAATAAGAACCTGTATTGAGATTTTAGCCTAAAATGGTTCTTATGTGAAGGGTGGTCGACAAAAACATTTTAGCCAAACAGTTTCTTAAATTTTTAGGTTGTTATGGGTTCTTCACTGCAGTTAAGTCTTCCCACAAAAAGCATCTAGATAAAATTCACCAATTAGCTTCACAATACCAGAATAAGTTTAAGACCCGACTGACAAACAAGGTACCCCTCGTCTCTGATGGTAGTACCACTCAGTTGTCGTAACTCTAGGTCATTGCCGACGATCTAACTACGTAATCGGTTAAGTTAATTCTAGTTAAGTTGTTAAATTAATCCGATAAAACTACCCTATCGTTGCTTTGCAATTTTGTCACCAGTTATGTGTACTTTTCCTTCAGAGGAATCGCCAAATGAAGGGACAAGATTTTTCTCGAGCGGACTTCATGTGCCCCTTTTTTTCGTTGGAGGCAAGCGTCCAGTTGGCCTTCCTGACATTAATCGTGGGAAAGAACTCAAGCAAGGAATGCCCCCTTCTTTTGTTTCTCTCTTTGATCCAGTCACAAACACTCCTTTTTATTCAGCCTACAAAGTTTTACCCGGGCAGGCAAAGAACATTGGCAAGCATAAGAGACCCAAAAATACACATTGGAAGAATCCTCCAGGTACGTAAATGGCTATTTGACAACTATTTATTACAAGACCGATTGGAGCACAATCAATCCATAAAACAAATACAGAGGCTGGGAGTATACCCTGTGTTACTTAAAAACACGCAACGTCATTAAAGAAGTGGGGAAAGCCATTATATTGCTTCTTCCTATTTTTTTTTCCGCAAAACAACCCTTGTTTTGCACAGAATCTCTATGTTTTCAAGAGAAACGAAAGTGCAGTTAGAATGCTTCATACTCCCGTAATTTCAGAAAAGAGATAAAAAAGCGACATGCTTCCCTGGAATGTTCAAAGATCGAACCTATGTAACTAGTAATTTTATCATCTTGGGAAAGACAAAAAATTACCATTATCGTCATCGTATTCAAAAGAATATGATTTGATAATTTAAAAGTGAGAAGTTATCTGTATTCATGGAAGAATGTGGCTTATGATTATAGGTGTTCGTGGTGTCAATAATGCTTATATGCTAGCCAACGCAGAAGCTCAAAGAAAGTTCAAGGGTCAACAAATTGCCAGAGGCCATATGAACCCCAGCGCTATCAATTCCTTTGACACAAGATTCATGAAAGCTACTTTCACTTTTACGAATGCTGTACCTCAGTTTAAGACATCAAACAGCGGACCTTGGCAGTTTTTTGAGAGAAAGATAAGAATTTATGCCAAAACTACCTGTGGGAGTCAAACCCGCCAAGGAACCCTTTACCTACTGACAGGCAGATCCGAAAATGGCCTCAAGGGCGTAACGAAGCCGTCCATTACCAATACATTTAAAGTGGCAACTAAAACAATACGCCTTGATACTCCTCAAGCTGTTTGGACGGCGGGATGTTGTGTGTGGAAGGTGACCGGAAGGCCAAGAGCAGAGTCCTTTGCAGTGATGAGCAACAATCATTATGATAAAACCAAGCTACATCAAACACAAATGAGAGTAACTGACCTGGAGATGTACTTGACGGCAGCAACGAAAGTAAAGTTGTTTCCAGGATATCCAGATTGTGCTAAAAACTACCATCCCCTACCATAATAATTCGTCCAGAAATAAATAATGAGAACAGGCTCTAACAATCTAAAGAAATTGTTCTAGAGACCGTCATAAAAACAAAACCAAAAAATTCGTTCCTTTCATTACAGACCCCCGTAAAACATGCATGTAAAACCTTAATTTAAGAGGGAACATAAGTAGATGTTAGCATTTAAAATTCGTCAAGTAAAAGCCTATTTGCCATGGGCTTCGAGTTAGGCAATGAATAATTGTATTTATTGCATGCAGCAAGATATCTTAGTTGATTGTGCAATAAAATGGATGGGATCTTTACTTGAAGGACTTTGTGCGTAGAAAAGCTCGCGAAACTCATCTCAGTCCACTCCATTGCACTCTAATACAATTTGATCCCACCCAACTCCACTCTAGTTCACCATAAGATATTCTAGCCAGCCATTTCCGACCCTCTACAATCCAACCCAATCTACCAGTTTTAACTTCAAAGTACTTCAGCCAAATTCGTCAAAACAATTTATTCCAAATCAGTCTAATCCACTATAAAAGGGTAAGTTTCTAAGAAACTGCGGTGCTGCGTCTATGAGAGAGTATAAAAGGGCAATTTCAAGTAAAATAGTGTTCACTTGCTTGGATTATAGTGGATAAGGTAATTTAGTATTATCAATTGAGTTGATAACGTAAATTGGCCATCGTAACGAGTTTCAAAGCTTAGCCCTTCGTCATTCGCTCTAACGAAGGGCTAACGCTCGAAACGTCAGCTTTGTTACTCATTACGGCGGCTAATTTACGTTATCAACTGAGTTGATAATACGAAATTACCTAATCCACTAAAATCCAAGCAATTAAACTCTAGTTCACTTGTGTCCACCCCGATACCTTCTTAATAGAGTGTCTCTGGAAGAGCGGTCCGTTTGATTTTGCTTGAGACACGGATTTCGCTCATTTTTTGTGTGTTGTAAGATATTTATGTATCTATACTAAAATCACAATTCGTTTGATCAGATCTCTTTATTTTTTCAGAGTTTACGGAAATTAAATTTCACTCGAGCGAAGGCTTGTCGTGACACTTTTCAGTTCAAGACTTTAATTTAAGACAACTTTGGAGGACAATTTACAAAAAACTACGGAACTCAGAAAAAAAACAAATACCCCAGCCATGTATATTGCTCTATCTTATCTATCGAGGCGACTTTCGTGAACATCACGCTTCAATCAAGCAAGCAAGCAGGAAGACTTGAATGACACCTTATCGGTTCGCCTAAGTCACACACGCCAAAATCGATCAAACTCAAAGTAAATTTTTGAAAAAGTGAGGCGTTCTTAACTGATCCAACTAACATAGCTAGGAAGTAGGTGCCATAGAAAAGGTAACTGCAGAAAAAGAACTTTGCGGCCCGACCAGCCACTTAGTGAAAACAGTACGGCTCAGTGGTGAGGGGCGTGGTGTGGGGTGGGTGCGGGCAGATCATCAGAAGATTTTTGGGAACATTCGAACATATGCATTAAAATATCATAATAAGCATTAGGACTCTCAGTCTTAAAGCGAAGGCATGCTTCGTGTTGCAGACAACTTTTGTTTTGCTTAGTATTCTTTATCCTTTCAATTACATTGCGTTCCAAATAGGACTGGCATCAATTCATAGATTTCTAAATAAATCTTTACCATGTAAATAAATATGTTTAGATAATCGAGATAACCATTGAACCTCTTGTATCGCATTAGAAGTAACATGTCTTGTCTTTGCCCAACTCTGAGAGCGTGTAGCGGCAAAGACATGAGACACAAGTGTCGCGTCTCGCGGGTTCTCCATGCTCACAGGATACGCGTGACCTCACTTCCTTTAAGAAAAATAAGAGATTGCTCGGAGTCTGTATTCCGTTAACCATTTCATAAGTGTGACGCGAGTCTTTTCAATTGAGTGAAAAAGTAACAAACCCATTCTTTACCTCACGAGCGTAACCACTGACCACTCACGAACTACAGTAACCTTCGCCTTTGGCGCGGAAATTGAAATCGTATCGAGTATACAAAGTTATAGTGAGTTCCTTTAGATCTCCCGAACTTCTATCGCGTTGGAAACAATTACAAGTACTGGAAGAAGTCGTTCGCTGGCGAGACGTTCATTATGTCTCAGGACTACTTTTTGAATAGCAAAGATGGAAAAAACTTTGGTTCATCACGTGGCTTCAGTGGTTTGGTACGACTGTCTGAATGTAATTATGAAGAAAAACATCATTTGATAAGCTGGCACCTGTCTAAAGAGGTCTTAAGTGAAAATGAGCTAATCTTGGCAAGTACTGGCTTATTTCACCTCGCTCAGGAGGATAAACAAAAAATGTGGATTTGCTATAGGCATCGCCACACTTTGGGGACGTTTTGGAGAAATGCAAAGTAACACCTCAGTATCCTGATCATGATGGTGTCAGGAAGCGTATCCAAGGCAGAGATGTGATTACTCTGCATATGTCTCAGGACATTCAAAAGCTGTTTGGAGTTATTATTCCAGTTGAATCAGGTAGTCTTCGGTAACATTGTCTGTTATCTACTTTTGTCCCGTGACATATCTGCTCGAAAATAGAAGAAACTCTTTATTAGATTAAGGGTACTTAAGTACACATTATGTTGAAGAAACATAGATCCATGTGTTAGTGCTTAATTGCAGGTGGAAATATGTACAATGGTTTGGTTGATAATCAATAATGTTTTTGTAGAAGATCAAATCACCTGACAACGCAATACACTTATTCATGCGTACGGTTCATAATTATTTGCGGTCAGTTTTCCTCAGTTTTTATGATCCTCATTAACTAGTATGATTAAATTTGCAGACTAAACACCCCTTATTTGATTAAGAATAATTAAAGTAAACAGTGTATGTCGCTTTTCAATTCCTGATGGATGCTACTAGGCTTCATTTTGACTGAGAAATTTGCAATCGCTTACCTCAGCTCTCTGTGTTCCATGCCGTAAGAAGCACAAAAAAAACGTTGAGGATAGTGATTCTTGGTTGAAACAAGAAGAATCAGAGAAGAATCTATGGTCCCCAGGAACGCCACTTTTAAACACGAGACAACTAAGGTAAATTGAATTGAGTGGTGTTTCTTTTATTGAAAACTATCGTTCAGATTATAAGATACGCGAATTACTCTCCCTACCGATTTTTTCTTACATTCTGTTAATCAAAAATTTCAGTTATTATTAAGGCTTTCTTGTTGATCGTCTTAATAGAAACAGTTTCCAGGACCCAAAGGGAGCAAAAGAGAAAACAATTTCTGTGTAGTTAGGTAAGGCAACGTGCCGGCTTTATACTTCTTCCGGCGTGATAACGATAATGATGACAACAATGGGTGAAAAGCACCGTTTGCTAATAATGGCGATTATCATAGTTATAAATAAATCACAGTTAAACTCCTAAAAAACACTCAGGGGGTCCTTTGTCTGTACCACGAAGTATGCCTTCACTGTTTCGACTAGGAGTCCTGAAGCTTTTAAAGCATGTATTCGAATATCTTATGACGATAAGCCCGCCACCCACCCCACCCCGCGCTATACTGTTTTCACTCAGCGGCTGGTCAGCGGTCACGTTTATGAGATAAACATGGCGATCGCTACCTGATCACCGTTCTTGTCGATCCGAAAATCAAAATACCAGCGTGATATTGCCTCGTAGATGGAACAGTTTTGTTATTTGATTCGTACTCCACATTCTTTTGTTTTGAAAGCTATACTGAGAGAGACTTACAGCGGAATATTTCTCATTTCAAGGAACTTTGGAGACAGTAGTGAGATTGTGTCAGTGGGAAGCTAGGATATAGACTTTGGTGGGCTTAATTAAGTTTACTAACGATAAGTATTGTACTACTTTTAGGAGTCCTTTCTTGTTCAGAACATCACTCGCTGTTTAATAAAGTAGTTGGGTTTGTAGGATTGTGGTGTTTTTCTGTCGGTTAGGTTATACCGTATTACTATAGGGCAATAAAAATTCAGAAGAAATCTTTGATTAACCTGACAGCTGAGAAGAAGCAAATCTTCTTATTGGTTATACATAATGTACACAAACCCTATAAGTGATTGAAATTTTATTCGACCAGATACATGCAAAGCAAAGGAGGATATTAGCTTGCACAATTCTAGTTTCCCTTCTAGTGTTCTGTGATCTTGTTCTTCTGTCAAATAGTAAAGTTCATAATTTCCCCAATTCCATAATTGTAACTTGTTTTTTCTTCTTTCTTGGCTGTCTTAACTTTTGTTTCCAAGAAATTTGAGGAGAAAATGAAATATGTACAGTTATCAAAGACACTGTGTAATCATTTGTACACTGGAAGAGTATTCTCTAAATATTAATCACTGCAGTAAGGGCATGCACCTACACAAATTCTTTCAATTTTTACACCTTTGAACCTTAATTGGACAAAATTCTCTTAATTCCTCCACCTTCCAATCTTTATTGTGTAACCAAAAATTTCATGTTGATATTTATGAGTAAGAGGTAGGTCACTACTTAAAGCATGATTTTCGAATTACTTAAATTTCATTATGGCATTATTCATTTATTTTTAGGGAGAATAATGAATGTGTAGCGGGCAACCAACACTGTTTATTAATAATAAACAAATAAACATGATAAAGAGTGTAAGCACAGCTATAACAGGAGCACACGAAAACAACCCCCAGGCGCTGGGTGTCCCAGCTCGTGCAAAAGAAAAACTTGGTTCTAAGCAATAATGCAGCAAAATACATTGAGGCAAGCATCTTACCGAAAAACCACACGGAATAAGTGCAGACAAAAGAAAATAGGCTAGACTAAATAGAAACTAGGGAAGCACCGACGAGCATCTATAGGATGAAAAAACCCTAACGCGCCCGCTGAAGAAACAACGGGGAATAATCCCGGCCCTATGGACAGCACTTCCCAACCTGCTGGGTTCTGTCAGAAATTGAACGAAAGACTAAAGGCCTGGATGACCCTAACAGCTAGATATACATAGAGCGAGTGACCTCAACAAAATTCTCAGGAAGAGCCTCATGATACCGAAACTTAGATTTAGGATTCCTTCAACCTACATGTCGGTGAACCAGCACAGAGTCAAGAGACCGGAACCCAGATCGTTAGCTCCACC